AAGCGGCCCTTGTATCCATCGGAGGGGGAACCTAATCTCCCAAAGTCGTATTTGTTTCCATCGGAGGGGGAAAACTTTAATCTCTCTCTTGTGGCTTCCACATTGCTAAGTCAAAGTCCAAAGGTAAAGCAAATATGTACAGGAAGGCAAGACCCTCCTCGCACGTTGGTAGCGACGTCACGGAAACGATGGGACGGTATTGGATGCGGAGGTGGCGGAGGGATATATGATTCGCTTTGAGGGGCATTTGCCACGCCACCTTCTTGACCTGTAACTTACTATAGTCTTAACTTGATAAAATAATAAAAAAAAAAGATGATAAAACTGCCGTATTTCATTGCTGTCCAAGTTCGTAACCGCAGCTTATCACTGCCAAATACTGAAATCCACTAACGCAAAAGTAACGTAACGGATCCTCAGAACGGTAACGAATCTCAGTAACGCGTTACTTCCTGACAATCTAACGAATATTTCGTTACTTATTTTCGGTAGCGGGCACGGTACCGTTTCAACTACAAGCAAAGGTCGAACCCCAATGACCCGTTGGGTCAGAAAACTGAGTTCTGTCGCAGCGGTGCAGCGGCGTGCACGCATCTTTGCCCAGAAGTAACCGCGGCATCGGCCGTCCGTGACTGACAACTTGTCCGGGTTCACCTCGCATACACGGCGGGAGGCGTTTTCTTTTCCCGTTCAGCCGCCCACAACGCGGGTGGGGCTCTTTCCTCTGCCAACGGGTGCCCGATTTTCGGCCTCACTGGAGCGTCCTTCCCGCGTTCCCGCGCATCGAATTCGCGGCGGGTCGTTCGTCTGATGACCCAGACGGGCAACGACCGCTTCGGGGTTCATGCTGGTATAGACTAATACTATGCTGCCTGGAACGCGTCTCCGTCTGGCGTGTTTACCACGTCCTGAAAAGTGATTTCTCTGTGTTTCGGTCGATGACGTTACAAACGTTGACGTCATTGACGTTGACGCGATCCTGCATGGTGTCACAGCACACCATCGTGCACGGAGGTGGTATCCACTGGACGCCATATTTGAGGGCGCTGTTTAGAGCGCCTGCTCAGAACGAGCTCACATTAAGAAGCTGCTAAGACCGACAATCTTGTTTGTGTAAAATGCACGTTGAAAAATAACTGTGAAAGCTCGCCGTCGGCATGTGCTCAGCAGTCGCGTTGGCCGCCATTGAATACTCACAATTTCCAGAAGGGCGCGGCCATCTTGAATATCGTCACTTCCGGTATGTGGTAAAACATCGTTTTGATCTCTCCACGCCGCTGGAAGGTGTGCACGAAAAAGGCGTGATTTTCACACATTCTTGTTTTGCCTCAACTATATTTTTTCCCATCTTCCAGGTTGAAATGTTTTATGATTTTTTCGCCCCGCATACCAGACACGGAACCCACGTGATTGAGAACGACAGGAAAAAGAAAACGCCTGTAGGTCGATAGAGTCGCGAATTCTATACAAAACGCGAGTGCGTATGAAATGCCATCGCACCCATTTCCCACAATCGCAGCGCTTGTTCTTGACAGACCTACCGACAGCGATCGTGTTGGCGGTTTGAACTACACTGTCCAAGGCCGCTAATCTCGTCAAACACAAAGGTGGGGTCGAAGTTGACAGAGCGCAACGATTGGCGTATCACGGCGATGACTTCGCGCTTTTTTCGCCGACGTCCAGTCGGCGCTTTCCGAGAACTTTCTGCTCGAACTTTGTTTTTGACGAGTTTAGGGTCCCAAGTATATACAGCGTTGAACATACGGTCTCGTCACATCACAAGGGCAGGCTTAATACGCACTTTTAGCAAACCGTTAGTGTCTTCCTCTTACCGTACGCGGTAACGGTTTGCTAAAAGTCCTTATTCTCTCAGTGTACTACAGTAAATTACCCTAGAAATGTAATTTAATTACATTCCCAGCTACTTTGTTACCAAAGTAGCTTATTACAAGTAGAATTACTCGCTCACAAAACGCAATTTTTTTACAATTCATTAATTTTAGAAAGTAATGCAATTACTCCGCGATTGCTGTCCTACCCGATTTCAATAATGACCGATAGCATTTTTCCGCACCTGGTTGATATCAAGAAACAAAGTGAAACTAATTTCGCACGTTGCGATCTTCTCTGGGGCGATTTTGAGTTGTCTTTTTGGACACGTGTCCTAGCCTAGAAGGTTGAAACATATGTGCAAAAACCAATCAAAAAACAAAAACACGAGAAAATTGCTTCGAGCTATTTTCGACAAACTATCGTATTCATTGTGCTCAAATTGCAAATATGGTCAGGTTTAAAAAAAAAAAAAAACATATTTGCAATATTCATATCGGAAAAGAAACCTACCTGTGATTCGTTTTCTAAAATAAATCGTGACGATTTTTTTTTTCTAATTTTTGTGCGTATTTTGGTTGACCTATAAAGACGGTTAAAGAATCGGTGAATCAGCGTATGCCGACTGAAACACGTAAAGTGGTGATTGTGCGCCGACTCACCGCTGGTGAGGATAGCATTTGGCGAAAGGCCAATTTGAAATACCAATGAGGCTGTGGCCGGCATCTTCGAGCTCCGCCCTGTTGTTGTTCCAAGAATTCGGCTCACCTAATGAAGAAGCAGCGTTATGGAAATAGAGGAATCACGACTGCAAGTTAAGCAAGAGATTATGGATACAAGATCTTTCATCCTTCATGCTGGGACCAAAGCCTAACCAAATCATGCCGAAAAGAACTCTCCTCATAAAAGAATAAATTCATAGATGACAATGATATTGCAGATAGTAATCACAGACAGTTTACAAGGGCGTGGCGTATCACGACCAGGCTCCGTGATTCGCTCCTCAGCCTTCTTATCGCTTCATGGACTCGGAGAGATGAGAACGTGATCGGGACTCATTTTCATGCATCACTCAACTTAAATAAAAAAAAGTGCAACGATTCGCTTAACAATTTGTATACAGCCAGTATAAAATAAATTAATCTGTTAGGCCATTTTATGGGAAGGCTCAGATTGAGTACTTATCCACTCGGCGTCGCAGAGTGAGGCTCAGATACCTTGCTAAGAGCTGATTTTAACATTGACACCTCAAGGTATTTAACTCCCCGAGTTGCCCCGTGCTATGCGTAAACTGCATAACGGGGCGTTGGTTCCGTACCTTTGACGCGACAATTCTTACAATTTTTTTTTTGCCCACGACGTATTGAGGAGTGTAATAGGCTTATTCAAGGGCATGCTAATTCGTCATCAGCTGAGATATTTTAAGTGTACTGGAGAGTTGTTCGTGACAAGCTCTTGCCTTTGCGTTTTTATTGCACTGTTTTGTTTTTTTAGTGTTGCATTTCCAATCGTAATCTTGTTGAGTTCATAACATGTACTTCGTCTAGGTGTAAGTTCTTGCGCATCAACTAGTTTGTAACCCCTCTTGCCACAACCTCCAAAACAAGGTTAGCAGTATTTATAAAATAAATAAAATAAACTTTGCTATCCTATGTGCGCCTACGACAATCTGATATGTGTGAGCAAACTACCGAGAACTTGCAAAGGGTGACATTTTTTCGTCGCAAGAGCATCACCCATGTTGAAATTAACTCTGTCTTTGTGTACAATGCGTGTGTGTGGGCATGCGTGATTGTGCAAACTGAGTGTGTGGTTGTGCCCCGCATTGCTAACTGTAAAACGGTCTTCTTTTTTTAAGCGACAAGCAAAAGGGTTTATGCGCGTCTGTATGTACGCAGTTTTCTTTATTTGCTTATAATTCCAGAAAGGCATCTTTGTTTTCTAAAATTATAGGGTTAGAAAGTGAGGGAGAGGAGGACGCGAGAGGGACGTCAGAACACCAAGCTCTGGTTGGAATGATTAGTGAATAAGACGCCAAGCCAGGTGCCTTTCTCTGTGTTTAAACGTGTTCCTGCTGTTAGATAGAGACTAAGAAGCCAGCTAGCCTTTCGCCACTAACCCTTCCAACCATAGCTCGGCGCCCTGGCGTTTCCTCCTTTCCCTCAGTTGCTACCCGCATAGTGTAATAGCCGTCTACATTTTATAGGAATCAACATCTCGACTTTTTTTATTTGATCAAACATCGAAGAAGAGGAATTGTACACCGCGTTAAACGAACGATTATGTAATTTCTGTTTCGAGGACCCAAATACGTATTCAACTCTCGTTTTCAGTTTCAAAGAGGTCCGCCATCCGTGGAATGAGGCGACATTGAAAAATTACGTCCTCCTCCATGGAAGGGGACGGGCGGAAAGACAGAAGGCGACGGAAACCAATCACGTGACCTCGCGTCTTCTGCCGACCAGCGCCAAGAAGATGACATCCGAGGCTTCCAAAGCCGCGACAAAAACGTTTAGAACAAACAGCGGCGACGCTTCGGCGATTCCCCAACGGTACATTAGGAACGCTGAACGGCACCAGCGCTGGAAGAACCACCCTCGAGACCTGTCCGGGCCGGCGGCCAAGCGCGACAAATGACCCAGCTGCGCATGCGCGGGAAAGGGAGGAAGCGAGCGAGGGGGCAAGGGGAGTGGAGTAACCGTTACGGCATGATGACTTTTGCCCGAGTGGCGGAGTTGGCTCTCAGAACAATAGGAGGCTAGACGGAGGACTGGTCAGGACAGAAAGCGTCTTGTGATCTGCGGCATCATCGTGTTCCGTTGTGTGAATCCCTACGAGGGTATACTCGCTGAACGCCGAGAAGTCCAACCGCGTTCTGTGCTGACGTAGTGATCCCTGAAAGGATTGGCGGACGGAAGGAGAGGATAGATTAATCGGAAGGACTTGCCGGGAGGGGCTCGCCAAAGGATTGCCAAAAGGATAGCTGAAAGACCTGCTGAAGAGACGCTGTGGAGACCCCGACTTGCCCCTGAAAAGAACGGCAAGAGGACTGTTCAAATAGGAGGGAAACATCACGAGTCTATACCGGTTTGCGAAAGCAACAACTGCTGAAGCCGGTGTAGCAAAATTTGCTGAGAAAATTCGTGAAAAGTCTATTGAAAGGACTGGTGAAGAGACTACTGCCGTCGGCATTGTGGTGACAGCGAAGGAATAAGTGTAGCTTTCGCGGAATCGATTGCCCAAGGTTTCGCGAGAAAACGTTCAAGGCCGAACTCGAACCAATTCCAGAAGTAGCCGTCGAAGGATCTGCGGACAGTTGCTGACCATCAGCTGTCAGCCATGTGTGGAGGCGTTGCTGCGTCTTTATTTCTGGCGAGCTGTGAGTAGCCATTTTTACATTTTCGCTTTTCCTTTGCAGACAATGGTGACCGTACAAACTAATTAAGAGTAAGGTATAAGGCAATGAATGCTGTTTTGTCCTAAGCAAAAGTAGAGCTAAGCATTCTAGTCTTAGTAATTAATTGCAATGAGCCCTTCATAGTAGTTTTCCTCTTGAACTGCTAGACCCCGGGTAAGCGAACTGATATCACGCGGGCCGCACCATGCAGTGTCCGTGAATTTCCGAACGGCCACCTAAACACTCGTTCTTCTCTCTTATTTGTTTTGCCTTCCGTAGTGAAAGTGGCGCACCACAGTATGACAACGTTCATGTTAAAAACAGAGTTAATTAGAAAATAGGTTCGGCAGATATATAACTTGGTTGTATATGAAGACATGAGCATCGTTGCCCACGTTCGTAACAGCGACAACTAAAAAGAAAAGCCCTCTTTTTTTTTTTTAATTCGCAATAACTGTTTTTATTGGAATGGTTCCAATTTATCAGATTTTTTTTCAGCAGTTTTGCAGATTGTTATTAATTCGCGAGAGATACTGCAATACATGCTGAGTGTCCCAGCAGGATTCGCATTTCTGGGTCAGAAAACGCTTTTGTTTTCACGACCTCATAGTCACCTTTATTAGTATTTGGTACTCTGCGTGACCTCCGTGGAATTTGTACACACACGAAAAAAATTTTTAGAGCCCAATTTAATTCATTTATGTAGTTAACTATAATTGTTTTGAAATACGAGATAGTATGAAATAACGTGTTTTTTTTTTCTTTTTTTCATCATTAAGGCTCCAATTTTCTGGGAGTGCCTGTCAGGGTGGATATCGCTCTGACATCTTTGCGAATTTATACATTGCTTAATTTAAGTTTCGCGCACAAACCGGGCCTCTCCAACATTTTTAGGGGAACTTTTAATTTTCTTTCACACCGTTAAGACGTGGGTCAGTTTGTTTATGGTGAACCATCAAGGAAACCCCCCAGTAATTATTATTGCACCGTGCGCACAGTTCAGCGAGTCAAGGTGACCTCCGCACTTCTAGATCTCATTAAAAAAAAAGTTACACTAAAAAATCTTTAAAAAAGTCATGGAACTATTATCGTGACGGTAAAACTTGGGGCTGGGATGAAAAATGAGAAAAAAAGAGCTAAGAGTACAAGAGACAAAGGACACAACAAAAAGGTTGACATTGTTTGTCCCCTTTCTTTGCCTCTACCACTGTGTGTGTGTGTGTGTGTGTTTAAATCCAATGTCAGGTCTTGCCGTTGTGTAAACTTACGCCAGCCCGCCTGCACTTTGACCGTTTTCTCACCAAGAGCGATGTCGTTTTCGTAAGCCATTGTGGCGCTTTATAAACCCCCTGTATGTGGAATTCACTTGTCGTCATAGTTCAGCGCATGCCGTTGACGGCGCATGCTCTGATCGAGTTCCGATTTATCGTCTGTGAGAAACGACAGTCTTGAGGATGCGGACGGCGCCATGCGAAAGCCTTGTGGGAGCTCGGCAGCAAACGAACAGAGCTATGGCCGCCAGGGAATGCCCTTCCCATTGACAATATTATGGTGGCGTTCTGATCCGCTTCCTAACCGTGACGGCACGGCCAAGATTACTATGTGCAAACAACATGTTTAATGGCGCGTGTAAAAAAGGAACGGGGGAAGCGTCGAGTCCTTTCGTTGCAGCTATACGACGGTTTCCTTAGCTACCCAGGTAAACACATTTTCGAAATGCACAGGCTTTACTCTTTTTGGCACGCTATTTATTGTTTCTAAATTTCGCTATGGAGAAAACGACAATCGAAGGCGATGCCAAAACCAACATTCGAACTTTCCCGCGCTCTCCGGTGAGGTGACCTCACTCGTTGTATAACTTGCAAGTCGGGCAGGCCGTCTGAAAAATACCGTAGTTTCCGCAGTACTTTTCTTTTTTAGGGGCGAAGCTCCTTAGTGTCTAGCCTTGTCCGTCCGGCGTCCGTGCTCACATCGATTGCCATCCCATCTGTCTTCTTAAAAAAAGAAACAAAATGTTTGCGCAGTCGACAGGATTCGAACCTGTGCGGGGAGACCCCAATGGATTTCTAGTCCATCGCCTTAACCACTCGGCCACGACTGCGGGACGAGTAGGGGGCTCTGAGATGGGAGAACTCAAGAGCTGGGGTTTCTGTCATGGATGAAACGTTGCATGTAGCCGCTCAACGTCTATACAGGAGAGGGCGCTGCGGTCAAATGCTTAGTATAATCGCGCTAAACTTTGCATGCATTGGCTCAACGTTTATAGACGAGAGGGCGCTGCGGTCAAATGCTCAAATGCGTATATAACCACGTTCCATATCACACATTCTCTTTCTGACATGGATCAGGTAGGGCCACTTTATCGCAGAACTAAAGAGACCTCCACTTTCTCGTATCATCAGCACCACCAGAGCTTCGCCCCAATCAACGTCATTCACCACATAAAGATGCGGATTTTTTTTTTTTTTTTTTTTTTTTTTGCTGGCGTGAGTTTAATTAACGTGTATTCCGCACTATCGAACTTCTCGTAACCCGTCCGGAACGCCCTGTACTGCCTCCACATAGCCCCATATTACGAGATCTGACGTTGCGTCTTTAGTGTTTTCTGTACAGACTCTCAGACCTAATTTAAAACTTCAATACCTCCGCGAAGGAAAAAGAAAAGGTTTTCCGAAATGAAACATAAATTAGCTTTAAAGGGGTACTCCACCGATTTTTTGAGCTACCTCAACTAACTATATTTTCTGACTCCCCGGCCTTTACTCTCTCCGGTATGCTATTTAGAATCGCGAAATTCATAATAGTTATTGCGAAATCGGCAAATAAAAATGATGCAAAAACCAACATTCAAATATACGCGCGCTTTTCAGGGCCGTGACGTCAGTGGCAGGCAGGCTTGCCAGTCGAGCAAGCAGCCAAAAAATAGAATATGCCAATCATTTGTTCCGTGCTGGAGCGCGGGTACTGCAGCGAGCTTCCCAGGCATTCATTTGACACCATGAAACTGCTTCGAATCAGTTTAAAACGAAATCTACACCCCAAAGAGTGAACCCCTGCCTTCCACTGACGTCACTTTTTCATTGTTGCCAGTAAAGACTTCAAGCTTGAAAAACACGGTGAGGACCAAAACTGTAAATTCAATAACTTCGCGAAAAAACAATATTTTGACCTAATATTTGGGATACTATTTTCGCGACGTTTGTTGGTTAGTTTAGCAAAATTTCAAGCAAATCGGAGACAATGAAAAAATCGGTGGAGTAGCCCTTTAATAACTCGCTCACAGGGCAACCGGGCGTACCTCCTGTATAGGCTCCCTACGGGAGCCAGAGTTCCGCGTCTGCTTCCCACGTGCCGCCGCGCCGCTATTCGCCGAGATCCGATCACGCGAGGAGAGAGGGATCCTGCGCCATGCAGGAAAGTCGCTTCGCCGACATACGCCCCCGTATGTTCCCCCTCACTCTAAAAAAAATTGTGGTGCGCTTTTCTTCTGCGCTTTCACTATTTTTCAACATCCATAAACAACTCGCCTGCATCGCTACGTTACGTTACTAAAAAAAAACCCGTGCGTCTACTTTCCCGCACCACACTCGGAGAGCCAATCACCGCACCTTATGGAGGCAGCTCAGCGAATAACGATGCCGAAACATTTCCTAGACCAGAGAACGCAGTCTGGGTTGTGACATTAAGCAATGGAAAACGTCACGCTTGCATTGCTTAATGTCACAACTCAGACTGCGTTTTGGGGTCTAAACTTATGTTTCGGCATTTTCATTCACTGAGCTGCCTCCGTAAGGTGCGGTGATTGGCTCTCCGAGTGTGGTGCGGGAAAGTAGACGCACGAGATTTTTTTCGAGCGCTGCTTCAACGCGGCGCGCTCCTGTCTGATTGAAGCGGCGATAGACGCCGCTCCGGCCAGCCGTGATCTCACAATCTTCGCTCATCGCTCTGGACAGCGCCGAGCGGCCGCGAGCTCCGGTGCTCTGCGGCATGCGCAGTTCGACTCGGCGAAGCGTTAACCCCTCCCATTTCTTGTGCCACCCACACTTAGTTCTACGAAAATTAATTTTGTGTAATAATTTGAATCGGTGACAACACCAATTCAATTTCCCCGCTAAATTTAGCGGCGAAAATGACGTCACATGACTTGGTGTCACGTAACCTATGAACGAATTCAGTTCCTCCGCTAGATTTAGCGGGAAAATTGACTTCACTTGACCTCAACACCAATTCAGTTCCCCGCTAAATTGGGGAAACTGTGCCGTCCTATAATGCAATGCGCGCGCAAATTTCTCTTTGGGACACCCTGTATATAGTACAACGCCCGTGCGTCTACAACCAAGTGACTCGAAACTTGCTCCTGGGGCACTAGAATCATCAAAGACAGAGGCCGTAGTTCATGGAGCGCGTCGATTAGACCATCTCGACGATGACGCAGCGCTTTTATCGCCCAATGGCGCGCTCCGTAAACTATTGGCTCCAGCTTTGCATTTATTTATTTATTTTTATTTATTTATACAAATACCCGCTGCGCCGTTAGGCATTATACGCGGTACTGCGTTCACGTAGCGAAGATATTCAAAATCATTGCGCACACACATAAAGAAAAACAGTAAGAAATACATTTTTATACTTCAAAACAACAAACAGAGGGTACATAGGTTGTGTACACATGAACATATTCAAAATTTATGCAAACATGCAAGAAGAAAAACAATGAAGAATACCCCATTTCAGTACTTCAATTCAACTCTTCAATCTCTTATAAAAAAACAGCGTCATCAGAAACCGAGATAAAATATGGGAGAGGGAATTCCACTCTCCCATATTTTAAACAGAAAAATTACGAAGAAAAAAAGTCACTTCGATAACGAACCTCTCCCCCTTTTTTTAGTGATCTAGTAATCTTGCAAATAGATGATGCGGCTCCAATATATAAACATTTCGTTCAATACCTGTCCTTCCATGATTTTACCGTGTGAAAA